TCACCAGATGGTGTTTTTTGGACCACTTTGAGGGCCTAGATGAGGGTGATGGCACAGGCTAGAGGGCGGCAGACAAAAATTTTCCGTTTCAGTGCATGCAAGGCTATCGATTTAGCGGGTCAAAACATGTATCCCGAGTTTGTCACTCAAAGTCGTCTGGCTCTCGGACTAAGAGTACATCCTAGTGATGTAATCCTCTACTGATTCTATTTTGAGGTCCGTGCGATTATCTACATTCCTCTCATACCATCTTGCTTCAGCTATGCTTCTTAAAATTTTCATTTGCATGATTTCTATCTTATCCTAACTAATCCTAAGACATTTAATTCATTTGTAAATTAATAGTGCTAAATTCCTGTAGTCAGAGGTATGCTTAGTTAATATTAAAAAAAGAGAGAGAAAAAGGCCTGAATGATGCCCCTTTTTGACTTTTTGACGAGGAAGCATGGCTATCATTCCAGCAAGAATCCAATGAGAGCAGTACTTTTAAGCAGAATGATTATTTGTCAGTCTAGTTTTTACAAGTGTCTCCTTGCAAATGTTTGACTAAATTTAGTTAATTAAAAAATTGTCCTAGGAGGTTAGTTAATTAAAGTATAAGCTTACTCGTACTTCTATAGCTTCACCCATTATACTTCTTATTCACCCATTCATCTTACTATCTCGTTCACGCATACTATCATTTACTAGTTAACTAATCCTAACAGGTGGAATTCATTTTTAAAGTAATAAAGCGAAATACTTGTATTTCAAGATGTGCTTAGTAAATATTTTTAAAAAAAGACAGAGAAGAAAAGGCAGACACAGAATGGTGTCCCTTTTTGACTTTTTGACGAGGAAACATGTCCATATGAGGACCATAATACTCATCATGTCTTGTGGTCTATCGGATTTTTATCACAACGCCTGGTTACAACTAGTCGTGTTCTGCGGATGCACGAATTGCCTACACGGAATACTGAAGGCGCTGTGACTTTTCCTAAAGTTGATGTGAACTACTAACGTTTGTTTCTCACCTTTGAGTTAATTTTGAAATTCTCCGAAGTATCCAACGTGTTATGAGTGAAATTTTTACAAGAGATCATTTCTGCCATTATATCGAAGAGAGCCGTCACTCTTGAATTTTCGGAATCGAATTTCTTAGAAAATTCGCCGAATCCCTCTTAGACGAAATCACTGAAATAGATAAAACAGCAAAATTTGTTTTATGTGTATTAATACGAGACCTATGCGAGATCTGCACCACAAGTACGCAATCATTATCGTTGTTTTAAACGAAACAGTCCTAAGGAGTAGTATTCCGACAGTGAACCAAGGAGAGTCAGTACTTTTAGATAGAATGGCGCCACTTCCTGCCAATTTTTACCGAAAATTGACAGTACGTGTGTCCGAAACGCAACCACGATAGCGTGCAGAACTGCAGAAGATAGCACTTACGGCCGGCTGTCATAGCTACCTTTAGCCTATAATATGATAATGAATAGCCCTTTTTACTCAGTTGGAAATAAAATTCTCCGATTTTCAATCATCCAAACGATTTCCGAGATCCTACAGATGGTTGGTTGATGCTGGAGGGAAGCTTTTTTCATCAAAATTTTCCCCCCAGAAGCGACTGAGCCGATTTTCTCCAAGCTTAATTTTCGCCTTCACGGCTCTGTTCGCTATCACGGCAGTCAAGTTCACCGTGCCCTCAAACCCTCTCGTGTTATCGGAGGTAATTTGGCAACACCCAAAAACAGCGTTCTTCTTCAGGATCATCGGTGTAAGCTGTGGTCTGTGCGTTGACATCGTAGGTGGTAAAACACGGCGGTGTCGCATCGTATTGTTCGCGGCTCGCTAGGTGGTTGCTCCCCTCCCTACCTCTCCATGTTGACGCCGGACGCTGCGCCGCGCCGCCGCCGATGGATAATGATGATGATGGCGATGATGATGATGGGCAGACGGCTCGGTGACAATGATGTAGATTGTCATGGTGGTCAGATGCCGGAGGTAAGGCAGGGACGCGAGCTCCCCAGTGGCGTGGCGTGCTTTGCGATTTATCGATTGTTATGCCATTTAAACCTATGGAGAAGGATCGATTAGCAGGGTGTTCGCAGCGAACACCTT